ACATAATAATAATAGTAAAACATCGTCCCGACGCACTTTAAAGTTATTTAGATATTAGCCGAAACAAAACCTGATAGTGAAATAAGAAATAGTGAAGTACGAGTAGTTGTAACTTACATAAGTTTTTCTTTCATGAAAATCAGCATATTAAAATGGTTTTTCACCTTAAGTCNAGTTTGCCTCTCAGATGAGGGGACATGAACCTACGACATTTCGCTTTCCGAATGATTGATCTGATTACTGAGTTATGCTGATAGCTGAGCTATAGATTTACCAATATCTCCGTCACACAGTGGTCAGAGGTGAGACCAGTCTTACAAAACCACATAGCAACAACAAAAATTGATTCATACCTACTCATTAATTCCTTTTGCCAATCCGCACAGTGCTCCGCAACCCAAAAACCGCGGGACAAAATAAAATTCTCTTTCAATATCTAAGTACGAACGTTATTCAGCATTTCTATTACATATGTTATTCACAATGGGACGAACAAAGAAGACGCGGAGACGTGTTGGGAATTAATAAAAAAATCGAGGGCATACGTGGGGTGGGGTTACGCTGCTGTGTCGGGATGTATTGTGTTACAATACGGAGTCGCTACGTGAGCGACCTGTTTAATTTTGACGGGTGTCGTCATGATTTTTGTCTGCAAATCGGTTGGGTGTTGCTTGTCAATCAGTTGGTACGGACGATGGCACATCTTGGTAGATACTGTGACATTTAATGTGACTGTAATAAGGTCGACTTTATAACATAGGTAATTTGATAATACTTTCGACTGTACAAGTAATTTAGTAGCGCTACAAAAAAGTTAAGCACCGTTTATAAATACGTTTTTTTGCTCCAGCACATTTATCGATTTCCAATCACACAGGATTTTAATCATTCACCTAACCATGCACTAACAATAATTATCAATTTGTAAACTTAGATAATTTATCGGTCCTAAATTATACAGGCTTACATAAATACTTAGCTCTTGTTGATTTTTGATGAATATTTAAGATACTGAAGTTACTTAACTATAATTTATTGTGGATATCAGTATGTAATCGACAATCTTAACTTAATAAATAGTAGTTTAGTGCGGGTCTCATAATATGACATAGTTACTTATTGCGTGGCATAAAATTGCGAAATTACCTCTAAACATCCTCGTAAACCTACTTTTACATGGTGACCAACGTCTGGGAGATGTTTATAGTATCTACGTAATATTTACTTAGGTGTTTATTATAATTACGTGCTATGAAGTTTTCTAGAACTTTGCGTTACAATCAAAAGTAATCTTTTAAGTCTTTTGAGACCACGTGATTTAATAGTTCGCGTCATAAAATAGTTTCTAATTTATATTCCTCTTTGCGCAAACCCCTAAAGATAAACTAAACAAAAAACAAACTAGCTTACATCTCTCACCTCAGGCTAACTAAAAATTACACTTCAAAACGTATCAAGGTAAGTACCTACCTATAATATTTTAAATCGTAAACTTGTTAGAGCTTCATACCCAACCGAAACGTTAGATTCGACATAAAGTTCTCGTAGACAAAACCACATCCTATCGATATTTTTCGAATCCATAAATTCGTTATTAAAACTAACCACATCTTCTCTTTACGACTACACAGTAACTTTGACGTTGCCTATTTAGTATTTTTGTTTGGTTAAATAGTTTAATTTTTTTATAACCAACCATCCGGTGTTCTATGGTTTACATTCGATTGGATTTACGACTGTTTTCATTGCGGGCACTGTTTAATATAAATATCTGAGACGGTTTCCTGTTGGTTAGTAACAGAAATAATATTTATTAAAAACAATTGAATGTATCCTAGTTTCTATTTACTGCAAGCATTCGGATAATGCGAAGCTTACCGGCTCTAAGGTTATCTAAAAGTAATATAATAGCAATTTATTGTTAACTTTATACGAGCTTCAAGACCTTAAACACATGCTAGAGATACTTGCCTTTAAAAGCCTTGCTTTATGCAAAATAATAGGGTAATAAAATATTACAGTTTAATAAATATTAAAACAAAGTTAAGCTCGGATTCGGCTCCTTCATATGGAGGCAATAAACGAGATAGCTTTGATAATGTCCGAAAATTACATGGTGCCTGAAACAAGTGAAATCCTTGATCATTAATGTATTATTATAATAAACAATGCCGCCATAAATTCGAAGAAGTATTTTATAAATAATATAATTGCACACCCAGTGGTGCATCGCTTAAAAAATTGTCTGCCCAAAACATATAATTACTGTATAAAAAGTGACCATTAACTGATATCTGTCACCGAGCGCGAGCGGAATTACGCCTCGCTCTGTCGGTAAGTGTGGATTTTATTCCATAAATAAACTGGAATCCATTTAATGATATTTATTGCTTCTAAGATCTCTAGATCTGGACTAAAAAAAGAAATAAATGATTGAAAGACTTGAATTGCTAAGTAATTGAATTTCTTCAATGCATAATTTAAGAATCAGAAGTGGCCATCAAAACGTAAGTTACAAAATGGTGTACTAAGTTCGGAGAAACTTAAAAAACCCGAACACAAAATAACATTTTGTAAGTTAATAAACGCAATAAAATGCCATCTAATGGTTTCCAGCAGTGACTGACTTTCGTAATTCACCCGTAGATGCTTCAGTCGTAATCCCAAACGCGTATCGTTAACAAATTGACACATTTTTATTGCTCAAAAACTGAGGTCATTAAAAGAAATTTAAGGTCGAAATAAACGGGTACCGCGGCCGACCAATTTCGACAAACAACAGATCAATTCACGTTAATTTACCACCTACTTAATTTAAAATTTTAAATGCGGCAATTTGGGCGTCAACTTGCCCAGTCAACAATACGGCGGGTTTAAATTTTGCGTTTATGGAAGCGGCAAGAGAAAAGGATGGCAATTAACAATTGTCACATGGGATTCGGGAGACAGTTAGGCGATTTACTTAAAAAAAACTCTTTGTTGGAGGCTGTAAGAGGCTAATTAAGAAATCTTGCACGATTCAGGATCCTTTAAACAGTTAAAAGCTATTTACTCAAAAATTCTTAAAAATTAATAAAAATTGTACTTTGTCTTCGAACAACTAACAGAATCTTTTGGACATGAATACAATTATAACGCCAAATGATATTCAAAAACAAAAATAAATGTGTTATAAAGATCGATTAAGTGAAATGGGCTCCAAAGTGGTTTCCAGCTGATACATTTAAAAATAACTTGTAAGAAGGCAATAAATATAGTAAAGACAGTGTCGTTTTAAGGGAAAACGATTCTGAAATCTCCAGTGGTGAACTCATTAAGATAATGTTGAATACATAAATACTAGATTAGCTTAGTTTGACCTCTGAGGAATAGATAGTTTGAATAGGATCATAAGGTAGTTGTTTATTCTCTTAAGAAGATTATGGAATTTTAATATAAATAATACTGATGCTTAAAAGTGTAGTTGAAACATTGTTGATGATCTGAAGTCAATACACTGGAGACCGAAGATTTGAAGTGATTATTAATTTGTGATACACAAATTGAATGCAGTGTAAGATAATAAATTCTATATTAAAGTTAAACGAAATAATTTGAATGTAACTTACACAAAGATGATCCTCGTGAGATTCCAATCACAAGATCCCAAAACGAGTTTAGAACTTCAAAAGTTTATGATCTATCTCAGGGTACAATAAAAATGCTTTTAAGTCAAATTAGATCATCGCTATCTTGACAATAGATACGTAATAAAATTAGTCCAGTTCAACGTTCTCTACACTAATTTAATATGGTAATGATCATGAATAAAATATATCTAAACGGTTCGCGATAAAATCCATAGATGCATTTTGTCGAGAAGTAAAATTTTATAGATCCTTAAACTTTAGGTTTAAAACTTTAACTTTAGGTTCACTATCTGTTCCTTGATTTCCTTTTACCATAATAAGATTATTGCCTAACTTAAAGATAGTAGGAAGTTTTGGTTTAGTACCTGTCTTTAAGTAGAAGCTATTGTGTGAATTTGCAAGAAGGCTATTTTGCCTCAGAATAGAGATCGCATGATTTTAAATTTTCTTAGAAATCATTATACCTAAGGTTGTCCGTGAAGTAATGTTTCACAGATCATGATTAATTTGTAAAGATAGCAATATCAATTTATTCAAGAGTACGGTACATATTAGAGTACCTTCATCACTTACTGTCTACCTACCTACCGATAGGTACCTCGAGCTAAAGCTCGCTCCGTTTTAAACTGTTGATTTTACATTAGGTATTTTGTATTACAGATGTTAATACCTACCCCGCTTGTATTAATATTCTTAATCAAAAGCACTCAAAAGTCAATGTAGGACCTAGGTAACAGCCATCAACACCACAATGGTTAATTGAATCCGTAATGTAAAAGTAAGTCTTGAAGATGTTCGAAAAACTTTTATTATTTTAAACTTACCATACTTGGACATTTTAATTGACCGCCATCAATTAAAATTTGCATTTTCTTATCTGATCATAAAATAAAAACAGGCAATAACGCAAGAGTAGATTAAACTTATTAAGTGATATCACAATAATCGGTCCTTCTCGTCTCATTTCGTACAAAGTTACTATAAAAACCACAATATGTATTGTATAAGAACCAGTTTTAATTGAATGGTAACTGCGAAATGTTCTAACGCGCATCAAAAAGATACCACAATCTTCTTTGCGAGAGGGGAAGGAGTAAAAACTTTTTGTCCAACGCTGACCGTTACCGGCCCACTGGGCACGTTTTGACATGACAATTTATTTTGGAAGTTATGCGAAATATTGTGCAATTTCTTATTTAATATTAAGTATTTTAGTTGCATACTTACTTAATGCTGATACTTTCAAAGATTTTATTAACCTGTTTAAACTTAGTGAAGCTCTGTCACTATTTTAAAAAGAACCTAGTTTGAATGTAACAAAACATTTTCAAAAGCTGTAATTGCTTAGAAATAATCAAATCATGAACTTACCTTCAGGTGCGTTATCATTGTTCCTTTCGCTGTGACTGACATGAGAAAAAATCAGCTACGAAACCGAACGGTGAAACGCAAATAAAATAAACTGAACTAGAAATAAACACAGTCTGTCCAATCACATAGGCTCTTTGGCATTATTTCCTCATGGTCTCCGTCCGTAAAAAAAAACCACACACACAAACAAAACACAAATAAAAAACAATAGTTCTATCACTGAGTCCGCGGTAACAGTTCGGGCGCGCGATCTCGAGCGTTCGCAGTCGGAATCGGAACGCGCGTACGTCCGCCGTTCGCGGGCCGTCGATACACAATGCTGGCAGATCGAAGCGGGCCGACAATACGCGCGCGCTACAATAACCGCCCCCCGCCCCCCGCACACGTGCGACAAGGACGCACCGACCTAATGTCACTGCCCTGCGAACAATGCCGTCCTTCGGCGGCATTTGCTTCCACAATTTGAATCAAACATACTTAATTTACAGCTAATCCTGAAAACTGAACACATAACCTACCAAGATCCATCAAAATTTATATGAGTTGTATTTAGAAATGGTCTTACAATCAATTGTCTATGCGGAATAACAGCTTTCATCCCGCGGAATCTATACAAAGCCATCAGCCCATCCTTTTCTAGCGGGCGATGTGTGCGTGCCCGAGCGTGCTCTTTCCCGCTCGCGCGCATTCTTCGCGGGCTAGGCGAGGCGCTGTCCCTCTCTAGGCTCCGCCCAGGCGAGCGTCTTTAGCTGATCGCACAGTGTGCGTGGAGCGGTGAATAGCCGGGCATTGTGAAATTTTCGCACACCACAATGCGACTCAGGTGGGTGTGCGCTGAATCTATGAGGGCGTTTAAAAAGTCAATACAATCTCTGTTACATTTGTATTTGAGGAGAAAATTTTCTTTCTTTCCACAGGCTAACTGGGCGTGTTGTTCTATTGTGTCGTGAGGCGTGGCCAAGAAAACGGTCTATTGTGTGACGGGGTGCGATTGTGCGATTGGCGAGTTCCATTGTTTGGGACTATCTCACCGGACGAGTTGCGATTGTGAAATATGACGCCCGAATTATTCATATTTTTAGCTCGTACTTTGTCGTGTAAAAAACGGACGACACTGAAGTAACAGCTGCGCAAATTCTTGGCGTTATCTATTAATATCCTCTGGATAATTCTAGCCAGCGTAAAGATAAGGATTGCATGCCCTTTCAAGTAAATAGTTCGCTTTAATGGTAATTAGAAATACCTTATCGTTGTTAAAAGTAGGAACTGTTGAAGTAGGTTGTCACCTAATTAAAGTAGCAACTAAATTATTTTTACGGTCGTTAATGTAAAGTATGCACATGCATAAACATGAATTTTCTACGTTGAATGCAGGTTTAAAAGAAACTTCATAAATACCAAACCGTAAATCTGAATAGGGAAAATTTCCACGAGTATGCTTTTGGCAGTGTCATCGTCATTTTCATGTGTTTAAGGTTTGTATTTACAACATGCATTATGTTAATGTAGGCACCTGTTACGGCTTTATGAATATGTAAACGTTAATACGTCGCTACAACATCGACCGGCGGTTCTAAGCACGTGTGATCGTCCAAATTTTATCTCTGTAATTATAAAAATTATATTTGTTAATGGGCTATTTTATTTGCTTTCGGAATCTGTAGCCGCATTACATCTAAACTATTCCTACGTTACAAGAAACGATCAAAGCTATCTGATAACGTAATAGAACTGGAAATGATATTTTGAAGGCATCGTAATATTGTTAACAAGATAATATCGTGACATGAATAGCTGGTTCTTGAGCTTTGAGCACTTAACAAATATTTCGACATCATTACTGATGAAATATAGACGTGTATTAGCAAGTTGTGCATAATATTTTTGTAAAACCATTGGTCTGTGAAGACGATAAGATAAGTGATCGACATAAAACTATGTTTAAGACAACGTTTAGCTACAAGTAAGAATGTTTAGTAACACAAAGTAGGTACTACAAAACTTAATAGTCGATATTGATAGTAACAGAGGTGGGTATTTCACGCCTGACAGACTTGATTAGGTCAGACCATAAATTTACGTCGGCATTAATATTGATATGATATTAAACGCTCCAGCGTCTTTAGAGGACAATATGACCCACATTGAGCGCAGCGCAGGCGTGGAAGAATGTATGTCTCGGGGTATCACCCCCACCCGTGTGGGGGGTTATACTCGTATTATCAGGGGGTTCCCCCTTCCAGGCTTTTATTAGCTGTGTTTCCTCGGAAAATAGCTTTTTGTGTTGCCGTTTAGTACTTGTTTTGTATGACGTAATGTATTTCTTTTTTTTTGTAATTCGTAATGTTTGCTTGCTTTTCTTGGAATGATGTCTTGATTATTCATTGTAATGTACTTTTTTGTATTAGGTATTCATAATCTGTGCAAATTTTTATAACACTGCTATGCTATCAGCCGTATTTTACCATAGAAGGCCACCTTCATGGCCTAGCAAGAGCATAATGCCATAAATCGAGTTACCTTTTAGTTTAACTGATTTAAATTTTGTAACGTAAAACAATGTGTCGAAACGTCGAACCTTTTTGTTTTCCTTTCTTTTAGCCTAACCATTTTGTTTGACCAAATTTTTATCTAATCTACCAACTTTCAGATCTCATTCAAGTGACAATATAAACTACCAGAAACACTTGATATTTTCATCTAGAATTTCAAGAAGCTACATAGGTACTACACATGTAACGTTCCAGGTGAACATAACAACCCGCCCAAAGATTATCGACGAAGGAAGCCGCGGCAATTACTTGATTGCTTCTGTGTTGTTCGGGGCTACGCCATGTTTGCGGCTCCTTTACAACTTAGTTTGGGAGCTATTGATGATTGTATTGAGTTGTGTTCCGTTTTGTATTTACGTTTGAGATTGAGAACTTATGTAAATTGGAAATCGTGTCTTTGTTTGTATCGTGAAGATTAGGTTGTTTAAATTATTTAAATGTAATTATAATTAAATCATATTTATTTGCTTCCCGTCGAGCTTTTTGGAGGCTCCGAATTTTTGAGATAAAAATTTCAGTCTATTAATCCGTGGTTTAGTCATTACTACTTCCTACTGCTGATATTTCGCAAAGTAATAAACATGAATATATGAATAATATTGACCATCGCAACATCAATCAATATCACTTCATTACATACCTAACACAAAATTTCCAAATCCGTAAACCCAGTATCCATTTAAAACGGCCCGCTTGAAAAATAATCCGTCTATTTCTTTACGTCAGCTTGTCTTACAGAGCCGGCTAATTGAACGAAAAAAGCTAAACCTAAACAGAAGCGGAAACGCCACAATGCGACGAAGATTGGATTCAAAGCCGATCTTTAAATAGATAGCGCGGACGCGCAAAGTGACGCCAATTAGTAGAGGAGAGGTGCCTCTGTAGATGTTAGGCCTTTCGTCCGTCGGTTGGGCTAACACGATTGACGCTCGCTGCTAAATCGGTCGGCTTGGGGCCGACAAAGTGCGCTAAAGGTACTTTTGATTGGAATGTTCTGAGTAAAGCAACTTGTGCGGACGATCGGGATGTTTATTGAGTGTCTAGGGACAATGTTACATGTTTCAGTTACTTGGCAGCGCAATGTGGTCACGAATATAAATCTACCATAGGTATCTAAAGGCACTATTTTCTATGTGATGGGTTTTTTCTCTGATAGGTACTACTCTTGCACAGACGACAGCACATCAGACTACCCATTTTTGTTGCAAATTTGCTTCTATTACAACTGCGTAAGACCCCACAGTGCTTACCTTGACGTGCCGTTGTCTGTACTTCAGTAACTTTAAAGTTGATAATATTTTTAAAAACTATACCATAAAATACAAAGTCCTCATCTCTTTTCATTTTATTAATCTTTGTATAAACCATGAAGATGTGCACACAAAAAAATCGAAGAAGAAATAAGAGTTTTTAAGCTTTTACTAAAGGGTATGACTGCCATTCTTAATCCCTACGCATCCCTGACAGTATTGGCAGTAATAACGAGCTCCCACCTGTCAGTGTCAACATGGTAGATGTAAAATGCATTGGTTCTGTATCACTTATCATGCATAATTTAATATCGTCCGTTCAAGCACTTTACGATAGAGACAAGCTCAGTGTTAGAAAAGCAACTAACGTAGGCCATAGCACAGTGATTAAAAACGACAACTGTTAAACGAGATATCTTTCCGGAATAATTTCTTTTAACTTAAAAATGGTTAGTTTTATATAGTCTTGCAATTGATTCGGAACTAATTTATGTTGCCAATTAGATCCTACTTGTATTACCTAATTAATTTCCTTTCATTGAATCATTGGAAAGAAACATAGCAATTACTTTTGATTTGACAACTTTCAAATTTGGAGTGTGTTATTGATGACGACTTATGGTTAAAGAGGCAATTCATAGCTTAACTATATCAATATGAGTCCCATAAATTATTATGATCCCCAATTTATTAATTGCTCAGATGAAACATTCTGATGGGGTTGTAATTACAAGTTCATTCAAATTTCACATCTAACTATCAAAACACTGCATCCATTTTCCTACAGCCATAACCAAATGACACTCTCTGAAATACACATTCGTTTAATTCTAATTCACTTGCGAAGTTGAAGATTGTTCCGCCATATCTCATGGATTTAATACCCCTCGGCTTGATAACGAGTTCGTTTCACCCTTCCCCTTGTTTTGTGTCTTCCCATAACGCACACATAGAGTTTGCTTTGAGTTTATCTTGTAACTTAAGTTATAAAGGTAATGTAGATGAAGGGTTTGGAATCTGTAGGTGTAGCAGAAATTTGTGGTTTGTAAGTGCCAAGATGGATATATTGAGAATTTTAGAATATCTAATTTTAATAGAATAGAGTAGTAAACGTTTAATTTGCTGCCACATGAAAATACATAGAACAACAGAGCAGACATTACAGTATCAGTCATAAGATAATAATATTTGAAAAAGAGTTAAAATCAGGTCTGGTGCTGGATCTTTCGAAATACTTAGCACTTTAGGAGTAAATGTATTTGTATAGTATTATTTTTCTATCATACAGATTTTCAGCAAAATCTTGAATTAATTACCAGTTCTTAATTAACGGTACTTAGAAAATAAGGCCTAAATCAATAGCTTTCATGTTCCCCACTCTTTACTTAGTCTCACCCCCATTGATTTATCTCAATGTGTAAAGTAATAACATTTGCTTGTGCTGAATATGGAAGTAATAGTGTGTGTTGATTATCATACTTACGCTCCACACGAAATATTTGA